CCCTATATTATGGGGACAAAATGTCTCCACAAAGATGGCAATATCCAAAATCCTTGTGCTTGTGGGGACATTTTTTGGACCCCTTGAGGAAAATGACTTATCAATCATAACAAGTGATGTTTTTTTGAAAATGTAAAAATGCAGAATATGTTCTGTGAGGGTTGTGTTTAAGGTTAGGGGATATAATATACAGTTTGTACAGAATAAAAATCATTGTGTATGGAAAGTCTCCATAAAACATGAAAAGTGTGTGTGTGTGTTGCAGACTGTGGAAAGGAGAGAGGGAGTGTTTATGCATCTACTTTGTTTATGAAAGAGGAAGGGTGTGTGTGTGTGTGTGTGTGTGTGTGTGTGTGTGTGTGTGTGTGTGTGTGTGTGTGTGTGTGTGTGTGTGTGTGTGGGTTTGTGTGCGTGTGTGTGAACGCAGTGTGTGTAGGTGGATATGTTATATGTTTGAGAAGGAAAACTGTAGATTGTGTGTGTGATTTGTTTGTGAGACTGAATAAGGCAGAGAATGTTCTCAACAAAGACGTGTATGTGTTGATTGCGTGAGTGTGTGCATGTATTCAGACTGAGAGCATGCATGTGTATGTTTACATTATTCAAACGTGTGTTAGGGAGAGAAAGACAGAGGAAAATAGAGTGTGTGAAAATGTGTGTGAGTGAGCGTCTTCGGAGAGAATGTGTTTGCTGCAGACTTTGTGTGTGTGTGTTTGTCTGAGAGAGAGAGAATATGAGACTCCAGCTTGGTTATTTGAGAGATCATGAGTGTGCGCGTGTGTGTGCGTGCGTGCGTGTGTGTGTGTGTGTGTGAGTGAGAGAGTTAGTGAGTGCGTGTGTGTGCATGTGAGCTTGAGATGGAGGAGGGGTGAGTGTGTGCGTGCATGTGAGCTCAGCTGAAGAGAGGATGTGTGTGTGTGTGTGTGTGTGTGTGTGTGTGTACGAAGGCTTTTAAAGGGTAGGGTGTGTTTGCATGTGTGTGAACACATACATGTGTGTCCGACTGGGGGGTTTGGAGTGTGTGTGCAATGTGCTTGTGTGTGTGCACTTGTGGGTTTATAAAGAGGAGGAGAGGTGTGAGTTTGTGTTCTTGTCCACATGTGTGTCTTTCTGCCTGCACATGTGCATTTCTGATTTGTCTGGTTTGTGTGTTGTTTTGAGTGGAATAGGATTTCGTGTGTGTACGAGAGCGGAAAAAGGAAAAAAGAGAGATAAACAGAGTGGAGATACACAAATGAAGGAAAGAAAAACTGATTTTGACTTGTGGAACGAGGAGGGATTAAAAGCATGTCCGTTTTGCAGTGTATTGGCATGGAGAATGAGTTACACAAGTGTGTGTAATCAGATTTACTGACATGCTGGACAAGAGTAGGCTATGTCCACAGAAAACAGTGAATGTTATTCAAATGGATCTCAGTGGAACTTGTCCATGTTCTCACGGTCAACTTTTAAACGCACCGATGATAAACCACTGGTTTACAATAAAAGGAGAATGTGTGAGTGAATGAGCATGTCTGTTAGCGTTCAACAGTAAGTACGTTACTATGGCCCGTGGCTAGGTTGAGAGTTTTGGGCCTGTTGACTGAAATGTCAGTTCGTTTTTTTAAATTCAGCCAAGAGGTCAAGAGGACGTTTAAGATGCAGTCACATTTACATTTACGCTCTCTGGAGTTTTGACTTTTAGTGACTCACTTCTGTGTGAGCTTTATACATCTCTATACTTCTGATCATAGACAATTCCCCCACAAAATTTCACTATACCTTTAGATCCTCTATTAAGTCGATTATTCACAAGAGGCCCTTAGCAAACTTCCTGGGGGGCCCCCAATAAGTCTTAAATTGAGATATATTGACACAATCTTAATTAAAATGCTAAAAAATATGTTTTAGTACAATAGAATTACCAGAGATACATAGCTTATATAGGAGGGCTTTTGAGTATTGTCTCAGACAAACGGGGACCTTGGAGTCAAAAAGGTGGAGAACCACTGGTCTATTGGTCAGATGTCTTTTGTTATGCAAATCCACAGTTTAGAGTTCATCAGACTGATGAGCAGAAGACAGAAAAAACTGCATATGAATAGAAGTGATTGGAGCATAAAGTCTAGTGTAGCTGTGGCTTTCATTCGAATTGGATTGGAAATTGTAGATGAATTAGTAATGTTTTGTGCTATATGCCTTTTTTTTTTTAGAAACAGTGTTTTTTATGGACTTACAAGTGTCATGGTGTGTGTTAAGTGTGTGTGTTTTTGTCACGTTGCTTAAAACCATTATCTAGCATATGTAACAATGCAAATCAAATCTGAACTACTGTCACATCCTTATTTTTGAACCTTATTATTGAGCTGTCACAATGGAACTTATGTACCCCTTATTTAATTTAACACAAATGAAAACAAGACTGTAAGGGGTAGAAGTACAGTCTTAACAGTGCTGTACTGTCTCAAAATTCTAGGTCACATTAATTGTCAACCCATATTATTTTTAATTTGTATAATTTTTTGAAAAGGCGCATTTTCAATGTTTCGACTGCTGAACAATCGACACCAAGGTACACAGGACTATATAACCCATTGAATAATCTGTACTTGGGCAATGACATGTGCATATTTCTGTGTCCAAGTGCATTTTTTCCTTTTGAGGTAATTTGATAAATTCATCACATTATTCTATAAAATAAATGTAGTTTGAATTATTTTTTTAGTACATTCAAATAATAGATATATTTTTTTAATGTTTTGGTATCTTAAATCCCCAAAATGTCGCAATCGTTTGCGCAAATGAACAGACTAAGAAAACTGTTTAAAATGGTAGTTTTAAAGAGCTTAAAGTTTTAAAGAGCTTAAAGTTTAAAAAAAACTTTTGTCTGAAAATTTGTATATAGTCAAATGTCAGGGTGGCTTAAAGGTGCATTGTGTAATATTTAGGAGGATATGTTGACAGAAATGCAATATCATAGTATAACTGTTTTCAGTGGTGTTTAAAGACCTTACTTAATGAACCATTATGTTTTTATTACCTTAGAATGAGCCATTTCTATCTACATACACCGCGGGTCCCCTTACATTGGATAAGGGGATAATTTTGCGACACCGTGTTTCTACAGTGGCCCTAAACGGACAAGCGCGTTTCGTCATTATGTTGTTCTTCGTGCAAGGAAGCTAGCTAAAGTCAGCGAATAAAACACTGACACAATGATGAACAACAATAATATTCGCAATAACATCATTTTACTGAATAATTAAGTAAACCTCATTTCTTAATTTATCTTTGTAAAGAAACCTCATTGCTTAACTGGCTACTCTCTGCTGTCTCAGACGATGACATCTTTTCCTGTCGGCCACCGTAACTTCTGTTGGTTGCAATTCGCAACCTCACCACTAGATGCCGCTAAAAATTACACAGTGCACCTTTAAGTGAACACATAGGTCTTTTATTATGTAATAAGATTAAAGGGTCATGAAACCCTAAACCAAATTTTCTGAGATTTTATCAGAGGTAATACAGCATCCAGAGGAGCCCAATTGATCTTTTGTGGCAGAGTGAAAAGGTTTGTAGATCTCTCTCAAATACTGATAAAAATAGCTACTTTTAAAGTATGGGTAGGTTGGTACACTTTCCATGTCAGGGACAACCAATGAAAAACTAGGAAAATGCTTTTATCATAATACTTTATATATTTGAAATATCTTATCATAAACTTCTTTATTGTATTTAAAAATTCTATGTATGAACTTGATAGCATATAGGCTAAAGCTAATACAGGCATCCAAGTAGAAGCCTGTTCAATGTAAAATTAGTTTTAAACTGATATTTATCAGGTGGTACAACCATGTAAATTCTTGATTTAAACCAACACATAATAGGTTGAAGTGAAAAAAAAAAGATAGTCAATTATTGTATTGAATGCATTACTGGTATACTAGTATGAATATGGTTTTAAAGGTAAAATTGGATGCTAAAAATACTAAATACCTGGCAACTAATGCAATAATTATAAGTTAATATGAATAAAAAACACAACCACAAAATAATAATGTGTTAGGCACTGTAGACACTCGAAGTGTTACTTTGCTAATGTTTGAAATGTTTTTTTAAACGCATTGTTCCTGACTAAAAAATATGCATTATTAAGTTTCATAGACTTGTTTTTTTATCGTCTTTGTAATTATCTCTATCTTTATCAAGCTGACCTGAAATGGTGAATCGAGGGATGAACATATGAATCCGCCTGCCTGCATGCACACAAGCACACGCAAACATATGCTCTCGGGTCCAGATGGAGGGTCGGCCAGATCAATATCCAGTCGGCAAGACTAAGTCTTATCACAGCTCAGTGAATACGTCAGGCACGACACACACACTGAACACATCTGTAACCAAGAGACTGCACATCTCTACACTTGTCTAATTAAGCATTCACAGCTGCATCTGTGGAAAACGAATCTTTGGCTTTCATACACCGCTCTATTAACAGCAGCTCACACTTTTATGTGGTCAGTTACCCTCTGTTGAAGATTTTATGGATTATTGATTTGCGAGTAAAACTTCTCTAGATCAGAGTTCTGTTATTATGGACATATATAGATTCTACCTAACTGGTTCTTCTTGAAGAAGAGTGAATGTGTAGTGGATTAATTAGTGGTGCTTGCTAAGATGAGCATTATATTATATTTCTGATGTGCTTGACACATAATGATTCAGATCACTTGACGGGCTTCCTTTAGTTAAGCCAGGTATAAAAGATGATTTGTATAGGCGGTGCTATTTTTAGTAACAAATAGAGGTGCATTATATGAGTCTTAATTAAACATGTTTTCCTTCCACATTTTTGGTTTAGAGAAGTAAGACTGAATAGGATTTGTGCTGTGATTTCCATTGATCCACTGATGTGTCCAGGTTATTGATTCGTCTGTGTGATTTATGTTTTGTTGCTGATTAAGTTGTTCAGGCTGTCCGTTTAATGTGATGATGATGATGTGTGTGTGTGTGTGTGTGTGTGTGTTTTGTAGACGTGGCTGTGGAAGGAAAAGGAAAGGGACACCAGTGAAGGTGTGCGACAGAGTCTTCGCCACAGAGGATGAGGAAGAGAGCATGTCAGAGAACAGCTATGGACCAGAGAAAGGTAAAATGTTTTTTTATTTTTTTATTTTTTTTTTATTGACATGTTAGGAAACAGAAAATGATTAAAAAAAAAGAGAGAAATTGAATCGAGAAATAAGGAGCCAAGCTCTAGTGTCAATTGGTATTCACACTGACAGCAATTAACAGCAACAAAGTGACCAGTCAACCTCCAATGATTTAATCACTGTAAGTGCGAATGTACCATTACTCATTCAAGTAAACCATACAGCTTAACATTATATTTGTGTATGTTTCAGGGATAGTATAAGTGTGTAAATATCTATGTGAGACCCTATTATATGTGTGTTTCAGGTGACGGTCGTGAGGACAAACACGGAGTCCCTGCTGCTGATGGACCATACTATGAAACACAATCTGCTCAGCTCTGGTGAGTGAGTGACTGTGTGTGTGTGTGTGTGTGGTGTGTGTGTGTGTGTGTGTGTGTGTGGTCTGACTAGAGAGACTGCATGTGTGTATACTATCTATGTGCGTGCTAGGAGGAGATAGCAAGTAATTGTGTTTGTTGTGTGGTAGAGAGATGCAGTTGTGTGTATATCGAGGTGGGGGATTACTGGAATGCAGGTTGTGTATGTTTATTGCAACGTGTTTATTTTCTTTGGGCGGGTGTGTGTGTGTGTGTGTGTGTGTGTATGTGTTCTGGAGGCAGAGAGATGGAGAGAGAGGGCAGGTTTGTGTGTGTTTGTTTGTGTGTAAGCGAGAACTAAAGAGGTGTGTGTGTGTGTGTGTGTGTGTGTGTGTGTGTGTGTGTGTGTGTGTGTGTGTGTGTGTGTGTGTGTGTGTGTGTGTGTGTGTGTGTGTGTGTGTGTGTGTGTGTGTGTGTGTGTGTGTGTGTGTGTGTGTGTGTGTGTGTGTGTGTGTGTGTGTGTGTGTGTGTGTTTAGAGAGAAGGGTGTGTGTGTGTATATTGCTGCCTTTAGTCATAGTGCAGCACAAAAAATATATATATTTGATTATGTGTGATTTTCATGTTTGTATTGCCCAGGATATGTTGCCCCTTTGGGGGTATAAATTAGTTTAAAAAAGAATGCTTGTTTGGCGATGCGTATTACAATTTTTTTTAGCTATACTTTTAAAACATTTATTCTCTCATAACTTAAAGTAAACATTCTTTGTAAAATTCTGTTAAACAATAAGTATAATGCCTATTTATAAATATAATAGCGTGTTGTATCATATTTAATATGCAAATTACTAGGGCCTATAAAAATGTATGACAATTTTTACTGAAAAACCTTTTGTACACAATCTGCTTCATGCCTTCTGCCCTCTGATTGATAGTTGATACTTTTTTAACAAGTAAATCTTTTTTGATGTGAAATCTTTCATGATTCTTATAAAGTAAATATAAGATAAAAATTTACTGGACTGAAGCAACTTGGGTTTACTTGATTATTCATACATTTGTTTTTAATGTTTATTTATTTATTTTATTTTTTAGATTTTTCCATGTTAATATAAATGTCAAATATGACACAACAAGCTTTTGGGGAACATTTATTTTGACCATATCTCAATTTTCATTGAATTGCATATATGAGCCATAACAGTCTGATGTATGAATGATACTCAACAAACAACACATGTATACTAGGGGTTGCGCAGACTTTAATGCTCTGCCATGACGCTTTAAGCTTGACGTCGACTAGTTGCTGGTCATGGCCTATAGAAGGGTGCAACAGGATAAGAAATCTTTGAAGTCAAACAGTTTAATTACAAATAAATGCATACTCCGAGAGCGCTCCTCAAGATATGTTTGATTATACCATCTGGATGCTCAAAATTGATCGGGAGCATCCAGATGGATGTATGAACGACCCAAAGACAAAAGAACTGATAAAAAAATAAGCTGTTATGTTGGATAGCCGTATGGGCTGCGAGGTTCAGGCTTATTTGTTCATTAACGACATCATCAGCGACTAGTCGACTCGACTTTCATCACATAAATGTCTACTTTAAAAAATCTGAAGATTATACTGAATGGATACTGCAAGATTTCCCAGCTGTGATGTGGTTATCTATATCAGTTTGTTTTGTTGTATTGCTGTCTGATGTAGTTTTCTCCCATGCAGTGTGAGTGAGGAGGGCTCTAGCGGATTGAGGGGAGCTGTCTCGTACCCCCCACCACCAAACTGCCGCATTCGGGAAGTGCACTGTGGAAATCAAGTGCGACTGATTGTCATAGCGATCCGCGACATCACTAAGGGGGAGGAGATAACTGTGGATTACAGTTTGACGGAGTGGGGAGAAAACGCTGTGGTAAGTGTAACCATGACAATGGCCAGCTCATCTCAATGCTCTAAGCTCCTTTTACACTTAGTGATACTAGTTGTATGCAAATTGTTGACATTTGATCATTTAGATGTGTTTGTGATATGTGTTTATTTGCATGGTTTCTGATTTATTCATGTGTACTGTATGTGTGAGAATGTTAGTAGGACTTTATAGTCCACACTCTAATATTTTGTGATGATGTTTCCTCCCCCTCTCAGGGTTTCCATAGCACTGTGCCTCCTAGTAGCTTTGATTGCAGTTTGGACCACGAGAGCAACATTAAAAAGGTAAAAATAAGTTCCGTTTTTACAAATGCACAATCATAGACTACACACCCAGTTAACAAGCAAGAGTAATTTTCAGGCCTTATGCTGAAGATCCTGTCCCCCTCAGTCCTGAAATGATTGTTACACCCCTGGCCATCAGTGTAAATGGACCATAAATATAAGCACCACTGCATACTAACATTTCCAGCATTTTCCTACAGTTCCATCCAGTATGTACTTCATTTAAATTCAATTTAAAGGGCACTGGCAAAATGGGCTTTTAATAAAACTTGGCTGCCTATACAGTAGAAATGTGAATTTAAAATATATATATATTTAATCTGTGCTACCTGACTAGAGAAAATGGGGAAAAAGGCTTCCGTTTTCTCTTTTGCCAAATAGGTAGGAAAACTTCAACACCCATAATGCACTGGGCATGTTGCCATCCAAGGCCACTTCCTCCAGTCTGTTATGGATATGCTTGCCAGAGTTAAAAACCACCTTGCTTTAATAGGAAATATACTTCTTAGCAAACGTTTAGTTATAATGGTGTTGACTTGTATTGTTCCCTGTTGCAAAAATTCAAAGATTAAACGTTTGGTGGGAGTGTTACTTTCGGTTCCCAGTTAAGGATCCAGCGTGTTGTAGGCAGTGGCTAAAGGCTGCAAAGAATCGTAAATACGAAGAGAAAAACCTGTGTTTGTAGTCAACATATCAATGTGGATGACCATGAACACAGTGTTTTAGGCCAAACGGACAGGAAAACTGAAAGTTCTGTTAGTTCACCCCAACCCCCCGAAGCAAAACGTTGTCACGTACAGGTAAGAAAGCTATTGCCGTTGTAGGGGTGTGCGATATTGACACAAAATTATATTTCAATATTTTCTGGGATCGATAACGATAATTAGACGATATTTTGCTTAGTGTTTATTCTGTTGATACCTTGGCAGATTTAGGACTGCCGTGGACAGCTGACTCCTAAAGATTTTGATATTCTTCATATTCTGTGTGGTGGTCAGTTCACAGCAGTGACAGAAATAATATTTTCCAATAAATTTAAATAGATTTTTACATTTCAAGGGCATTTTTACCTTTATAAAGATATTTTTTTTACCTTATTAAATGTGTGCATCATCTTTTGTATCAAATTGTTACATTTAATCAATATATTAATTTAGAATAATAAGACACAATAGGGCTGTTACCAATCAAAACAGTGATTAAAAAATTCATCTTTGCAATGCAGATGAAACAGAAGCTGCATCTGAAGTGGCATTTAGATGCATTTACAGACTGTTTAATGCAGATCAGAGGGGGATCATTAATGCATTTAACCTGCAGTTACAAATGCATAATTTTATTTTGACGTTTTAAACACAACTTTGAATATTGATATTTTGAAATGATTTAAAAAATGAAGAGACTTTAAATGAGATTATAACCGCCAGCAGGTGGCAGCAAGTCACTGTTAATGAGTGAGTCATTGAGATTCAACTGATTCATTCAAATGGCTGATTCATTCAGGAACGAAGCATTTGACTGAAGGATTCAATGATTCACTCATTAAAGGGGTCATATAATTCCATTTTTGTACAAGCTAATATGATTCTTTAGGGCCTAAATTAAAAGTTTGTAATATACTTTATTTAAAAATTCTCATTAGTATTGTAAGAAAAGACTTATTTTACCTGGTCAAAAACAGCTGTTTTCAGCACGCCGTTTCAGTGCATATGACTTTAAATGATAATGAGCTTCACTCACTCCGCCTCTCTGTTCTGTGCGTACACCGTTTGTAACTCAATAACACACTAACCATAACGCGTTGTTCAGTATAAACGTGCGATTATGAATTATATTGAGAACGTCATACATAGAAAACATGCCGTAATGTACCCTGAGTGACGGAGTGGGAGTACCTTAGACGCATTCATTGTGAAGCGTACAGCTAGCGATTTGCAAAGATTAATATATTAATATAAAGTTTAATAAAACGTTACACTCACTTCCGTTCTTCTGGAGATTCAGCAGGAACACGAATATCTGGTACCGATCCTTTTTTCATGAGCAGCTTCTTAGCAAATCCAGCTTTATACTGACCCTCGTTTATAAAGCAGTCTGGTGTGTGAAATGATTCGCGCAAACATGAGAGCATTGACGTTGCTCGTGGGGAATATTCCCTTCGAAAACAAAACTCAACCACTGCGTCTTCAGCGGTTCGGATTCAGGAACATTAAAAATGACTGTGTTCGTTATTGCACCCAAGAACAGAACACCACAATCGCTTAGACGCCATTCTGCTCATAGACAGTGCTCCAGCATATCAACAATGACCGCGCCGGTCCGCCCGGACTATGATTGACAGCTGGCTCACGAGCGAGGGCGGGTCTGTGTTGAAACGCTCCTGCCAATCAACAATCGTGGGAGGGGCTTCCGACCGTGTGACGTCACACGGTCGAACGGCTTGATTTGAGGCAGGGGAAAACATATAAGGAGATCAAAACAAAAACACTGGATGGATTTTTATCATTTTATGATGGTTGTGTACAGGCACTGCCAACACACATTTCAGTACAATCAACTTGTAAAAGTGCATGTACCATTATATGACCCCTTTAAGACAGTCAAACAATTCATTCATTCACCGCCTTGTGTTGCTCAGAGCAAAACAGTCCTGTGGCTTTGTTTGGAACTATTTGCGCTGGTGAAATAGAGCAAAATCAGGCAATATTGTCTTCATAACTCTTCATGTGAGGTTGATTAACTATATTAAATTATATAAATGACATGCAGAGGTATTTTTTTTGTCCCTTATCTTGAATATTGAGGGCATTTTAAATGCATTTTAATAGACTAAATCATGCAGTGAAAGTGTGCACTCTAAATGCACAAACACACTAGTCTAACACACTAGACTACGTCACGTAGTGTATGCATGTGCTCTCTAGATGTGCTTCTGTAAAGTGAGGGAGATACTCGATAATGTCAAACCGCACATCATTAAAACAACAATCACGATATTATCGTAGACGATATATATTGCACACCTCTATGGCATAGTGTTTCATTTTTACCAAAATGCAGTTTAAAGAGTAGGCATAGTATGACACAATTTTCTACCCTTAAATGAATTGTTCTGTTAATAACCCTCTGTTGAGCCAACTGTCCATGGGCAGGGATACAAAAATGCTGAAGTATAATCTGTAGTTTTCACGAAAGCCCTGGAGATTTACATATTCGACAGACTTTGAAAATTGGTAAAGTCAGTAGCGTGGCGTGTGGGTATGCATCTATGCAAGCTATGCATGTGCATATGGGCCCAGGCAGATTGGGGGCCTGCAGCGTGACCCATCAATTTTCTAATTGCCTTTAAAAAAAACTGATGTAATTAACAACATGCCAGTTGACAATTTAATGAAGGTTAAGACAATAATAGCAATTAATCGACAAGAAGGATGACCATTTGAATTCGTCTATCCTCCTGAGGGTCACTTCATCCTAGTCAAAAGCCTCTTCAAACTGAGTGCTGGTGGTGTTCAGTCATTTCCTGGTGGATAAAATTAAGTTCTGCCCTACAGTTATCACTTTCAGTCATGAGACTTATAAGTTTGTCATTTATATGTTTCAGAAGTAAAATGGGTGTAAACGCCTAATTTCAATGCCTTTACTTACTCTTTAACATCTTTTTACATCTTTGAAATGTATGTGCTTTTTTCTCTCTCAGGAGGAAGAGTCCTGCCCAATTCCACTTTCTCTTTCTGTGTCAGAATACATCACACCTTCCTGGTCTCTCTCTCCTTCATCCTCCCCTCTCTCTCACTCTGAGCCCAGTGATTCAGACCTCGACTCGGATGATGCCAATGGAGAGATGCACATGCGAACACCACACCGCCGCAAGAGGCACAAAGCCCTCTCCTCTCCTGCTGCACATGCCAAGAGAAAAGCACCTCAACGATCCCCCAGACATCCTCCCTCATTTCCACTTTCCATCCCAACCTCCCCTCTGCAGACCACTACTCGTTCCAGACCTGTGTTTAAGTCCCCACCACCTGCAGGAGTTCCTTCTAATAGTGTCAGTGTGTCAGTGGGTCGTGGACAGAGCACCATGGCACAGAAACAGCGCTGTGTCTACTGTGGCCGTCACTTCCGATCTCTCCCACGCCATCTGAACAAACACCATGCCCACCAGCCTGATGTGCGCTCTGCCCTGGAGCAAGCACGCGCCTCTGGTAACTCTCAATGTGTACACTCATCTCTCCCATCATCGAGCAAACATTCCCAATGCCTCCAAGTAGCTCCTGTGCCAGGTGTAGTGGTGGAAACGCCACAGTCACCTCCTCCTTTGTCTCCAGTCAGAAGGAGCCCTGCCCTCTCTAGCCCTATTCGCAAAAGTCTTACCCCAGCCCTGACAACTCCACCCAGAGGAGGAGGTGTTCCAGTATCTGTGTTAAAGAGGAGCCCACCTACTTCTGCTACTCCTCCCAGAAAGGGAGGACGAAAAATAAAAAAAGAGAATGAGGAGACAGACATTTTTGTGAAGACAAAAGAGGTGGTGCCCACTTCAGTGTTTGTGGAGCATGTGAAGGAGTCAGAATCTTCGAAAGAAGCGAGAGAGGAGAATGGAGGGAGAGAAGAAGAAAGCGGAGCGGAGGATAAGACTGACCTATCAAGGTCAGACATTTTCAATTGATGTTACACCATGTATTAGAGGTCTTCACGGGTCCACTTGGATCCGAAAACCCGAAGTCCGACCAGAGACCTGAGTGGGTTCAGATCCAAGACCGAGTGTCTCGGGTCGGGTTCAGTATTAGTGGCCTCGGGTCTCTGGTAATTTAAAATAAATGTGCTTTTTCCGAATGGACCCCGAGAAAACCCGAATTCTTTTAAACTATGTTGGGCATTTAACAAAATTTTATTTAGAGCAATTCTTTGACAACGTTATCTCACTTTTTCTAAGTTCTCTCTGTATCCGCGCTTTTATGTGCATAGGACTTTACGCACGGTTGCTCAACATTTTTGCCTACTGTTACAACGCATGGATTTTAGACTCGCTGTTTGCGAGATCTTGCATGGATTACGGTGAACAATGTCAATCGAAGTGGCATCTCTCACACCCTCTAGTAAGAAGGAGAAGGGCTTTAAAGCCCTTCGCCGGAGTTCAGGTAAATAGCGTTGCAGACAACACTAGCGTATCCATGATTTATAAGGCTATCGATTTAATTTTTATCGAGCTATCAAGTTTATTTTTCCAATACACTGGTCACAATTGAAAGCTGAACTCAGAAATAACTTGTATCCGTTGGGCAGGCAAAAATGTAAATTAATAATAAGTAAATCAATGAATTAAATTAATGGAGCAGAGGCCAAATCAGTCAGCAGGACAACAGATTTTTCTTGACTGACTGCGGGGCTGCAGCCTGTGCACACGGCAATGGCGTTTACGTTCGGGTCCAGTTGGGTTCGAAAATAAATGCCGTCGAGTCGGACTCGGGTCTAAATTTTATCGGGTCTGTCTCAGGTTGTTTTTTTATTTATTTATGCACGTCGGGTTCGGGTAAGAAGTGATTCGGGACGGGTACTGATTGTAGGACCCGAGAAGACCTCTACTGTGTATACACCGAAAGCAAGTGATGTGAAATGACATGACAAAAGACAATAGAACCCATTATAATCAGTGATGCTGTCGACACTGGATGCGTTGCGACACGACAAATCCCTGACAGTAAACTGATGCCCTGTTTCATTTGACATACTCCACATGCCTGCACTTCTGACAGAAAGGTCAAATGGATTTGCTGCAGTCGCTGTCGTGTCCAGTGTAGACACAAATTATTTACTGTTAGAATTTATCATCCATTCTCTCTAAACTCATGCACTTACTTTTGTTTTTTTCTCTTTTCTTAGTTCACGTCGACCCCACATGCTCCCACTTCTTTCCGCCCTCTCTTCCCTGGTGTTGTACCTGCGGCGGCTGCAGCACTCTGCCTTCATCTCTCTCTCCCGCTCGCCACAGTCAGCTGAGGCCTGGCGTCTCCTCTGTCACTCCAGCCTGGCCCTTCTCATCCTTTACAACCGTCGCCGTGAATGCGAAGTCTCCAAACTCACCATCTCCGAGTACCAGGCCCGCATCACACCCCAGTGCCCCGTCCCCATGGCACCTGGTGCCCCACAAGCTCTAACCCCACTCGAGGCCTCACTCTCACCATTCGAGCGGATGGTCCTCCCCCATCTCCCTCGCGTTGGGGTCCAAGGGAAACGTGGCCGCGTGCAGCCGCTCATCCTCCCGCCACATTCTGAAGCCTGTCTGGAGGTGCTTTTGCAGACTCGTGCTGGTGTGGGAATCGATCCACAGAACCCCTACGTGTTTGCCCGGCCATATCATTCGCCTGCCACTCCGCTGCGGGGGACAGATTTACTACGCAGCTTGGCTCGATCCAGTGGTACACGTTACCCACGGGCACTGACGCAGACACGAGTTCGCAGACAGGTGGCGATACTTACGCAGCTCCTGTTGTTAAGTGAGGGCGAGGAGGAAGGGCACCGCGGGGCTGCCACACAGCGATTGGAAAGCTTTTTGCAGAAAGAGTATCATGTAGCGCAAAGCTGTGCAACCATCGGCCAAGACCCAGGGCTGATGGGTCTGATTGGTCGGGTGGTACTATGTGGAGAGAGAGATGGCGTCCTGTTCCGAGGAATGAGTTTACATCACATCTGTCTGGAGTTAGATGGTGAGTGAGTTTGTTGTGTCAAGCACATGGCAGGTGTAAATAAAGAGATTTGGACACATCGGTCATAATTATTTTCACACCCGTTTCAGTGTTGTCAGGAAACTCTGCTGACTCTCTGTCAGAAGATTCAGATGTTGAGCAGAGTAAAGAGAATCCAGAAGCACCATCTCCTGCAACCACCATTATGATGAAGAAAACCACAAGCAACGGCAAAACTCCCCGGCCTAAGAAGATGAACGGCAAAAAGGCCTCAGGACAGCCCAAGACTGGTGAGTCTGACAGTGTATCATACATTGTGACTACTTCTTTGTACACCTCAGTTCCAGGGCCTGAGGATGACACTGATGATTGTGACTGCAATCCATGTTTACATGTGCAATGCAGTTAAACCAGGGTTATTGAATTACATAAAACAAAAACAATCAAAACACAGATTTTGCAACCTTTGTACAGTGTAGCTAAACTAACTAAGAATAGGTGAGAGCAAAAAAAAAAAAAAAAAGGTAAGCATATGGCAGGTGTCTTACAAGATTCCTTGTAACCAGAATATTGACATATCTGGGGGCCTATAGCATGAAGCCAGTTTAGGTGGCTAGCCAGGTATGTTTGGTTTGCGCCAACCCTGGGTTTTAGCCACCATGAAAGTGGCTCAACTTTTAGCGGTGTTCGTCGCCATAGTAAGCAGGTTATGTTCTGTGTATGATCTCAAACTGGAATTGGACCAATCAGCTGTGAGCAAAGTGACACATTAAAGCCACTCCCCTAGTTTCTCTTGCTCCAAATTAAAGGTCACTGTATGGTGATTTTTAAAGACAAAATTGTCTGGATAGAGCTAGATAATAATCTAGATGATTATTTACTATAATTATTTTATATTATTTATATAATTATTATAGCCTACCCATAATCCATTACACATGAGCAAATTTAGTTTAACCATTTTTATTAAGCATTTAGTTAAAATGAATATAAATCTATACAGATAATATATAATATAAATAAGATTTGTAATCAGTAGATAAAGCTTTATAAATTACTGCATTCGAGCTTACTTGTTCGAGTCTCTGTATACCCAATAGATATATACTGTATATTATCAACTATATAAAGTAATTTCACAACTTTCACTTGCACTGATATGTGTAAATGCTTCATGTACTTCATATTCTTCGATCTCTTAATCTTCGGCAGAAGAAATTAATCTTGCTGATTCTCTCGTGAGAAGTTTCAAGGCATATGATTGGCTGTTCGCTATCGATGTCACACTGTTATGTGCATGAGCTCCATGAACTCAGGACCAAAGCCTGAGTTGACTGTAGCCAAGTTTCCATCCACTTGTCAAATGAATTATCTGAAGTTCGGTAAAAAAAAACTCATGCGAATAAAGCTGGTGAAAGTGTGTTTCCATCCAACGGCTTTAAAGCGAATAAAACCCTGTGCGTAATGACGTCACATGCTGTTTTGCGATCAAATTGATATATATCGAATTGATTTGAGACATTTTAAGGTGTTTCCATTCATTTTAGCACTGAATCGCAAAACATTCAAGCAAACATTTGCGAACTAAGTTTTGCTAGACAAAATGGATCGCGCCATCTACCAACAAATGATCAATATTGCACAAGTTGTAATAGTGCTTGTGTGCCAGCTGATAGCGACATATGAAGCTATAATAAGAAAACAACGACGCTATCAACACATTGCTATGATGGCATTTCTTAGATTTTTGTTATCTAAAATAGCCGTTATATTTTTCTGGTAAATTAAATTCAAAAAGTATCTCGTCTCCTCGTTTGTCCACTTACATCTGTCTTTGTTGACAGCCGCCATGTGTGCGCAAACAGAGCGGAAATACTGGGCAGAAATGAACTAAAACTACTTCTTCTATGTTTTGTGGCGGGTTGCAACCATAAAATGACCTAAAACTTAATCGCAGTTCATTATTTATTCGGCAAATAACATTTCCTTCAGCGTTTATCGCATAAGCCGTATATCGATCAAGATAAAATCCGATGAGACCGAACGTATTTCATTTGAGTCGATATTCATGAAATTCAATTGAATTTTACTGTTTCCATAAGGCATTTTTCATTCGATATCACTTAATTCGGATAAAAACGTGTGGATGGAAACATAGCTAGAGAAAGTTGATGATCAGCGTCATGGTACCAACAAAGCCTGATTGAATTGTTTTGGTTTTGCCAACTACCATCATGGTACAGGCCCCTGGTTATGGCAGGTTATGTTTGTACTTGTGTGATGTAAACATCTACAAATATGACATTTATGGGAAACTGTATGCATCATCATGTAAAGCATTGGTTCGCGGCCAGTCATTTAATAAATCAGTATGCTCAGTTTCGGTTAATAAATACAATTTGAAAACAAGCAACTTTCACAATTACAGTAGAATTATCATAAATATCGGAGCCTATATGTGGGCAGGGGGGCTTTCAAATATTGTGTTGGACAATGGGTCTAGATTCTAGAATATACTTTTAATAAAATGTAAGTTCGTTCCCTGCTCTTTTTTCGGGCAAGTGTTCATGTAGAGGTTTTTAATGGGCCAATGTGAATAAATCTAGATTTAAATTCAAAGAGACAAGATAGTCTATGCTATGCATGACCTGACGTTTTATTTATCCAAAATGAGGCGATGTGAACATTATGGAGTGCTAAACACTGTCACGTAATGTAGCTGAATAAAAAGCAGATTGCGACACACCACAAACACACACCATTGTGACAATAAATAGTTTATGTGCGTTTTTTAAACCATCTTGAGGTATTTTAATAACAATAAAGTATATGAATAATGCAGTGCTAATTGACAAAGCCTTTATTACAGCATAGAAACTATCAAATTTATTTTCTGCCTGATTCTGTTGATAAATATTTTTTTTACATTGTATAAAATCCATGATGACTTAATGCACAGTGTTTGTAATACATAAACCAATCATAAAATTGTCATAAGGACAATATAGGAAAAAATATTATTAGAATACAATTTATTGGTAATTGTTTCTTTCCAAATTTCTTAACCGATTAAAAGTAAGAGATAAAACAAATTAGACAAAGGTCAGAAAACGGCTAATGTTAAGGACACGATGGGACATACAATTTCCCAGAAGTAATTCATATATGTAGATGTTTACAGTATATCACACATGTATACAATTAACAATACTACTTTGGTCAAATATAAGCAAGACCATTGTGATGGTTTGTGTTTATCGTAAGACATTTAAATCACAATTAGATTAGATGACTTAATAGACACTATCTTTGCGGGGAAAACTCCAGATATTGCACTGAGACCTTCAGCACAGTGCTGGCTCATTGACGTGTGTGTGTGTGTGTGTGTGTGTGTACCTGGGAGAGCTTCAGTGAAGTGTTTGCATAGGAATAATGATTAACATACATTCTCCTCTCTGTCTCAGGGAAACGTGGTGTGCTAAAGCGGCCTTGGTCTGAAGCAGAGCGGGCAGCTGTTGAGTCACACCTGGTGCAAAACATTATGGAGCTGCGTGTGCCCGCCAAAGCGGACTGTGAGCGCTGCCTGCAGCTCTGCCCCCTGCTGGTCACTAACCACCGGGACTGGAGGGCTGTTAAATTCTACTGCCACAACCGTATACAGCTGCTCAAGAAAAGCCAGCACAGTCTGCCCTGTCTGTCTGCTGGGGCTGTGAATCAGCACGATGCTGGGAAGGGTCATCCAATAACAGCAGATGCATAAGGGAGGGAATGTGAGGAGGTGCTAAGTGAAAATATTTATACAGTAAACAGTACAAATGCTTTAATTAATGTGATGTTGTGCGTGATTTGTGTCCAGTGTCTGAAACGGAAAATGGTACCACTCTGGTAAGCAGATGGAAATGCACACCTATCTTGCGTACTTTTCCAAAATATGAAAAGAACACTTTTTTTGTTTTTGTTTTTCGTCTGCACATTACCAGTTTCTGTTGCTGGCTTGAAAGTAGATTAATATTTTTGACCACCTGAAAGTCTGAATGGCTTTGTTTGCTCTCCCTTTGGCCATGCCTACGTCTCACCAAAAACAGAGAAAGAGGCAGACTGAGCAACCTGTGCCTTTATGGGAGTCCAACATGAATTGTATTCACATTTGCAGTGACAACTTTTCTGCTACATGCAGATACTATATTTATTCATGAAATGAAGGAATATACTCAAGAAATAGAAGATAAAAAGATTCTCATCCAAGTCTACCATCTTTGTTCATTAAAATTACAAAGGTAAATTCAAATAACTTTAATTTAATTGAATCAGTTATAAACAGTTCATAAATCCCATTCCATAATTGAGCTTAACTTCCCTTATTTGACTGCCTTATTTGATTTTAGATAGGCCTAGATAGTTCTGTACTCATTTGCTCATGTTGTCGAACCATTTTGGAATTCCTTCCACAGTAAAACACAAACTGAGACATTTTGAAGATTTGTTTACTATGCAATTACAATTAATTAATGCAATTACATTTAAAAAAATACCATATAGATCAGTTTGATGTTTATGCATAATTAATCGTAATTGCATGAACAAAAATGACCAGAACATTCTTTAGAGTCATACTGAAAGTCATACTGGTATGGAACAACATGAGGGTGAGGGTTTATTTTTGGTAAATGTTCCATTAATTTAAATCTGTTGAAACGTTATTGAAGATATAGTTCTGGATATTCCATGATATCTTTTTTCCATATATTTCAATGCAAATATTGATTAGCTTGTTCAGCATTGAAAAAAATGAACATCTATCTCTCATGTAATTCTAGAAATGGACATAAATGGGTGAGCAGATGAGTCTACTTGTTTGCTTTATATTCATCCATCAAATCCATATCAAAACTTAAACTGTGTATTGGAAACACATAACCACACGTAACACCTCAGTTTATACTTTTTATATCTATATCTCGCTGTTTTGTTATCTGTCCTTTCAGACTTTGCGATGTATGTATGTACTCGCATATATATTGTCATTGCTGTTGATAGTGGTATTGTTATTACTATTAAATCTTACTGTGGCAATTGTTTTTCATTTCCACTTCATGTACATACTGAATGTAAATATTTGCAGAAAAAAAGAGCACGATGTAAATCCATTGTAGGCAAGACGAGCTTGTTTTTGTTTTGTCTTTGTGTTTTTCTAAGTTCTATGAAATAAAAAAAAATGTTTTGTTTGTAATTTTAGACTTGGTCTTGTTTATGCTGCCCTTAAAGAAAATGTACAAGAGCAGGAAAGAAAAATCCTCACAATTCAGTCCAAAGACACATATTTCAATGTAGTGATTTGTGCTACATTAATTTTAAACAATCGAATATAATTTGCCATTGTTGTTTATTTCGTCTTTTATTACATTAAAATTTTTCAATTGTTTTTGTAAGCGCAAGTAATTTTTTTCTTATTGATTTTCTTATTTTCTTACAGTGTCATTGCACTCTGCTCTCTGCTAAAAGGTTTAATTAGACAGTGAGTGGCGCAGTTATTTGTTTTGCTTCAAATCAGTCAAAAAAGATTTGTTTGCATTACATTTTGTTGTAAATCAAGTCCCTGCTGTCTCTTGTAGATCTTTAAAAAAAAAAAAAAAAAGACAGAGTGGATTTATTATTAGCTTACCAATTTCATTTTCACTGTTGAATCAGCGCTCCGAAGGTCAATTTAAAAACAGTAAGAACATGAAAAACTGTATTTGTTTTCTTTTATGGATTATTAATGCATTTTGCACTGAAAGATAAATTAAACCACACAAACAGCTAAATAATAATGGCAATTTTGCCACTGGGACTGCTTTTATTCTCCAGCAACTGCTCTCTTATATGAAGCATTTCAAGACTGTCTTTAAACTTCAAGACAAAACTTTAATCTCAGCATGTTATACAGAGTTCTTCTGTAAAACCATAAACATAACATTTGGATCATAATGAAATTAATTTAAAAAAAATTATACCCGGTTAATAAACACTATTTCCCATTTATTTTACTCCAGTAACCACTGATGCAACACGTTACATATGTAATTTTAGGTATCACAATATATAGTTTGTCTAATGAATCACCATATGATTTTTTAAACATCCACTAGAGGGCACTAAAACATCAGCAGAACAGTCATAATAGTATTCAGTTTTTGAAGTCTCTTTTTAACATGACGCGTGTGATCCAGGTGTGATCAGTCTTGGCTGGTTGGCTGGTCCCTGGAGCGTACGATCACACGATTAGAACGTTCAGTGAGTCACGTGATCAACTGCTAAATTCAAAATTTCAAATCCGCTTTCGTGCTTTGCCTTTGACTGGCACTGAGCCAGCGACGGGCACGCTCAGCGATTTTCATTTATCACAACAACTGTTCAGTGTATTTTAATGTTTAATAATAGTAATACACTTTAATTTCCATTACACAATAACAAAAATACTAGTAAAAACTAAATAGTTTGTTATTGCACACTAATATCTATAACAGCAAGATAACATTTTACACATTAGCCTATGTATTATTTTATTCGAGTCAAACACACATCGTGTAGATAACTCTAAAGCTTACTCTGTTCTGCTCCCAGTTTGACACCCACTTACTGTCATATTTCGGGAGACATGGATGATCTTGCATTTTGTAAATCCAGCAGGCTCTGAGTCCGACTCCATCAAATAATGGCGGCGCCCATAGCCCTGTGGTGATAACTTACCGATCAATTAACATGATCTTTTTTTTTCAAGTATTAAAACCATATTAGGAGTTCCCTTGCATATATTTAATGATGTAGTTAACAAGTTTGTAAATATTAGGTATAAAAAAAAAAAAAAGATTTTAACATGTCATGCATTGCAAGTCTTTTTTCCCCGCTGACAAGTGATGTAGGCCTACCCTACATAAATGAGTGATGTAGAGCTGACGTCACCGATACCTCACACTCACCTTTGTTCTAATTTGAGACACAACTTTAATCAAATTCACCAGTTTTTAACTTCTTCAGAGAAAATGACAGAAAATGTATATAAAAGACAAATGACAAATGAGTAAATTGTGGATTTTTTATTTTATTTTGATGAGGAGATTTTTGACAGCGAGGCAGAGAGTGACAGCGATGAAGGACCTTCCCCCAAACCTTGAAGCTCTTGACAACATCGAAGGTGAAGAGACAACACCAGTCCATGTTTTACCCATGTCAAATGAGGCAGACGAGGTAAACTCATTGTCATCGAAGGCAACCAACCTTTTTAATCCTCCTGGCCCAGGCAATTTTGACAACCAGCTGTGTGGTGTGCAAAATCCACCAGAATCCCCCAGTGAGGTCAATTGTTTTAAATTGTTCCTCACAGAAGATGTCATAAGAGAAATTGTGGAGGAAACAAACCGCTATGCCTCTGACTTGCAAAAAAGGGAAATTAAAGGAAAACTTGTTAAATGGGTTCCAACAAATATCCTTGAAATGTACACATTTTTAGTGTCAGTTCTCCTAATGGGGGTGATAAAAAAACATCACTTCGGAATTACTGGTGACCAGACGACGTCCCGAAAAAATTCGGGACAGTCCTGAAATCGAAGCTGTTGGCCCGAATCCCGAATCTGGCCCTAATTGTCCTGAAAATTATACTAAAGCACAATCTTGAGTAGTTATTGTCTGATAAAACTTTAAAAACTGTCCGTGGAGGTTGAACTTGTTAAAAACTGTCCGTGGAGGTTGAACTCCTTAAGCCAGCCCCCGCCGGCTGCTCATTGGCTGCAGCTTCTTTTTTGTTTCTTTTTTTCCAAGTTCTACAAAGATACCGTAGGCGCGAATTTAAATATGCATTGATAAGCTCATTTTCATTCATACGTTTCGTTGACCCCAACACGCTGCTAAAAAGCAAAAACGTCTCTGCAGGCTGCAGGTACCGAGAGGAGTGGGTGGGGAAGTATCCATGTATCCATAGTAGCAACCAAGTCTACCAAGTGGTACAAGAAGATCTTCTTTCACCTACTTGACACTGTTTTACTCGACAGCCACATCGTCTACTGGCAAATTATTGGTGAGAAATGGATACAAATCATCTAATAATAAATATAAACAAGATAAAAAGTGATAAAATGTTCAATTAATGTAATCTAAAGTGTTAACAAATTTACAATAATAAACAGACCACACTGTAACATACTATTCTGTTCTCCTCACTCCCTATTGATGTGCTTACTATGAGTAGGAAGGAAATCACCTCCCTGCAATTTAGGATTAACCTGATGAGAGGGCTGCTGGAGGAGTACAGCACATTGCGGTGTCCAACCAAAGGAGGGCATTCTGCCTTAGACACTCCTCTGCGCCTTACAGCCAGGCATTTCCCATCTGAAGTCCCTCAGACCACTTCCCAGGGCAGCAAGACCAGGCGGCACTGCAAGGTATGCCTCTCCAGCACACGCAAGAGCAAGCAGAGGCACCTCACCAAGCACATGTGTGTGCCATGCAACACTCCCTTATGTGCTGTGACTGTCCCATGTTTTGAGTACCACACACTGAAGCATTATTAAGCCTGTAAAAAGTCAGAGTATATTCATTTATTTATGATGATACTATTTTGATTATTATTCATTGTAATTATATTAGTAAGTATAAAGGTATGTATAATATAGTTTGTTTTAAACAAAAACAATTACCAAAAGTCAGAGTATATTTATTGCATTTTTTTGTTTATGATGATCATTGGTGATACTATTTTGATTGTTATTCATTGTAAATATATTTGTAATTGGTTTTGTAATTATATTAGTAAGTATAAACGTATGTATAATAGTTTGTTTTAAAGGGTTAGTTTACCCCAAAATTTAAATTCTGTCAGCAATTACTCACCCTCTTGTTGTTCCAGCCCCGTAAGACTTTCGTTCATCTTCAAGCAACGAGAATACTTTATGCGCGCAAAAAAACACAAAAATAAATAATGACTTTATTCAACTATTCATTTTCTTCTGTGTGGGCCTCTGACGTGAGTTCACGAGAGCGCCACGACGCATGCGCGAGAACTGAGAACCCAGAAATCTCTACTGGCCCTGAGGTCAGTGGTGGTGGTGCAGGCGTGTAAAAGTGATGAGTAGGTGCTGTAGGCATTCTAAAATTTGGGGTACGTTGAACCAGTGTTAGCTGCTGAGTGGTCACCGATAACTTAAAGCATCTTTCCAACTCCTTAGATATGTCGAGACCAAAAAGATGTCTAGGAATGATAGGTAG